CAGCTCTCGTGGCTGCTGCGATGATATCGATTGTTCCTGGTTACACCAGTCGATCTGTGGCTGGGTCTTATGACAATGAGGGCATTGCAATTTTTTGCATGCTTCTGACATTTTATTTCTGGATCAAGTCTGTGAACAGTGGCTCTATCTGTTCTTCTGTGTTAACTGGAATTTCTTATTTTTACATGGCAAATCAAGTTTACTAACCTTACGGTTATAGGTGTCATCCTGGGGTGGATATGTTTTCTTGCTCAACACTATCCCTTTGCATGTCCTTTGCCTAATGATTTGTGGCCGTTTTTCTCAACGTGTGTACGTCGCGTACTCTATCGTAACTTATTTTCCTTTTGATTTACCCCTTCTGCCTAGTTCTATTGCATCGGAACTCTCTTGTCCATGCAAATAAGCTTTGTTGGTTTTTTACCCGTCTTATCGAGCGAGCATATGGGCGTGAGTTTACCATTGCTTTCACATAACCCGACTTTTAGGCTCTCGGCGTTTTTGGCTTGTGCCAGTTTTTCGCGTTTGCTTCCTATCTAAAAACACGCACAAGCAGTGACCAATTTTATTGTATTCTTCGCCTTGGTGCCTCAACTCTAGGTCTGGTTTTGTGTGCTTCTGCGGGGACACTTTATTTTTCCGGTGAGTTTGTATCGCCTACTTCGATGATTATCAGTCATGTTTGTACTCTTTTACTAAATTACAAGACATTCTGTAAACTGTATCTTTTGGTCAAAGGGAAATTTTTACGAAGCCCCTAGTAAGCTAAACTCAAGATTTTTCAGAACAAATTGTCACCAAAAACCTTGCCATATATCCCAAAAGCCTGTTTCAATTTCTGAAGAGTTTTAGGCAATACATTTAGCAGGTTTTGTGTAGCAAGTTGTTTAATTAAGACATTATCTTCCTTGCGATGTAATAAGCCGTTTTAATTGAGTTATTAGTTTATTCAATTAATCAATCATATTTTGTGTATCGTTATAAATCTTTCCATTTTCCTATTAAACACTATTTTACCCATTCCTGTAGTTTATTGTGTGTTTGCAAAGTTAGGTTTCCTGTGTCCTTTGAAGACATAAGGTCATTAATTTACCATACTCTTGTCGCCTAAATTATAGACAACCAAATCGAATTCGGCGTCTAGGGAGACTTGCAGCAACCAAGAAAGAAATATCCCATCATATGAGAAATTGTCTTGCTCTTTTTCACACTGATTATATTTTCGCCAAAAATAACTTGCATGCACTCTGAGGTACTTGTAGCCTATGTTTGAGGCATTCATAATCTTACGCATGTATTTGTCGTGTTTTTATGTGCGTGATATACTTTTGGCAAGTCGTATTTAACACATATTGCATATCTTATCGCTGCTTTTCCTTATATTTTTCGGTGCTGTTTTTGTTCAAATTTGAGGCTAAAAATTTGAATTGCTGCATTATCCTTCTTTTTTAGGTAAAATTGCCCCCTGGACGGGTCGATTCTACTCATTGTTAGATCTAAGTTACGCCAAAAATCATCTTCCAATCATTGCCTCTGTGTCTGAGCATCAACCGACGACCTGGAGTTCTTACTTTTTTGATCTACACGTTATGACTATATTCTTTCCTGGTAAGTTATCCGTTTTTTATTTTTTTTTTAATGCCAATTTGCCTCCAGATTTCGACAAACTTCTGTTTTTGTGTACATGTCTAAGGTCATGTTTTTTACGATTTTCTGATTTTTGTGGTCGTTAAGCAACTTGCAATTTCGCCTCGAAAATTGCTTGATTCGCACATAAGTAGTAGTCACGCTCAGGTATAGGTGACTAGACTTCACTTAGAAAAACCTTTTAAAACGAGGTAAAAGTAATTCCGCTTTTTGGGGGAGTCGCGAAAACCGGGTGATCAAAATATGAAAGCCAAACAACCACCTAGGAGATATCCTGATTCTAGGGAAGTCCATTGAAATGTTGCTAGATAGATTTCATTTTCGAATGTAAAAGAGTAGGCTTATGATAGGTTAATTAGTAAGCTTGAGGCCTGGTTTTCTAACACAATTTGCGACAAACTGCATATTGTGTTAACTTTGGCTTCGTGACTGTATTCTTAAAGTTCTTAACATCGTATGCACTTTCATTTTCTGCTAAAGATGAAAATACACACTCTGTTTTGACGGACAACGTTTTTCGGAGCTACGCACACAATCAAAGACTAAGTTTTTGGGCACTAAGTGTTAGCGCAATACGTCCTATACCTAAATCCTGTAATTAATTGTTTTTGATTCAAAATGTACGGAATCAGGTTTGTACGCATTTGTCGACCCTTCTTGGTCCATAGCCTAAACTACAGTAACCGTAGGTAATCGTTTTTCGTTGGCTTTCATTTCTGCGGTTTTTTAAGACTCGCGTAATCGGGCAACATGTCAAGGTCCTACGTTTCATTTTTTCTTTATAATAGCGATCGACAGCTCCTTATGTCCGGTATAGACACTTGCGTTTAGCGTGAAGGTAAACGCTATTCATGTATTGATACCACATAGTTGATAGTCATTTTTTTACGTTTTGATAGTTCACTAGTTCGTGTTTAAACTAAAGTGCGTTTTTTTAGTTGGCTTGTACTACTGCTTCAAAAAATTGACCGACGCAAATATCTTCATTATAATATACGGTGTTCTGAGTCTTTATTTTTCGGTAAGTTTTGTCTTTTGATTATAACACTCTGTGATCGTTCTATTTTTTTGCACCATCCAGTGCTTGCGATTCATCAAATAGGTTGGGCGGTAACTGCGTCGCCTTATACTAGGTAAATCGTTTAATGGACATTACTCTAACCGCAGTCGATATTTACCGAGTCACGCTATGTGGCTATTTCAGAGAACCCGCAGAATGATGAGCGAGCTTAGTTTTCCAATGTTCAGGTTGACATTAGCAAACGGAAAAAGTGGTTTGAAATTCCTTTATGGTATTTGTAAATTCATGGTAAAGCCTCGTGGCGACGAAGGTCATGTTTCACGAGCCTATATCTGTTTCAAATGATCTTTGTGCCCACTGTCGACTCGTGAAACGTTTGTTGCTGACTTGCAACTGAATTTGCAATTGCTAAGATTGCGTTTAGAAAGGAGGACCACAACCAGCTTTGTTGCAGTTTGCAGTTTATGCTCAGCCCCTTTAACTTCTATGAAGGACATTAGCTTTTCAAGTGGGGATGCAAGTGGTTATTAATGTATTTAGCCTAACACTATATCCAATCATCCGTTTTCGCCTTAACCTTTTATTGTATTTAAAACGTTTTTGTTTAGGGTGTTATGGTTCGTCTGATGTTAGTCTTGGCTCCTATCATGTGTATTCTCTCCGGTACGGCCGTTTCCAACATCCTTCGCACCTTTTTGCCCAACTTAGCCGTCTGCCCCCCGTCCGCAGATAGAACCGACCTTTGTGCTCCGTCCTCACAGAAGCGTCCGTCCCCACTCGGGAAGCAGACCAGGGGTTCTGCCACAGTGTCGCCATCTGATCCGACATATCCTTTCAAAAGTCAGGTGCGCTTTCTTATCTGTCGTGTAAACATTTGTTTATCCAACTGCTAAACTTTGCGGAATCAAACTATTAATATGTGTACGGTTGGCTATACAATTATTGGAATAAGTGTAAAGATTTTTCGCCTGTGGAATTTTCTTTTCTCTAATCTTAATGCGTTTGTGGTTCAATCTGGAGAATAGTGCTCTACTTGGGTCAATTGACTTCATTAGTACTTAATCAACTACATCTCCGCAGGAATTTATGCTCGAAATGAAGCGAAGCTTAGCAGCCTTATGGCTGAAGAAAATGCAAAGAATAATTGAAGGCATGGACAAATACCGACCAGAATTTCAGCCCAGTCTTTCTCCAAATAGTTATGTGATTTTTTAAAAGTGCCAAAACTACTGCTTTGTTCCATTGCTGACTTTTGTGTCATTTTCAACGTTTAGTTAATTTTTTTCTTCTGTTACCTTGTTGTAACATGCAAATAAACTTTTGATTTATACATTATTGAATCCCTAGAACTTGCCCTGTACACATTTGAGCTACACTGCTGGTGCCACTGAACTTTATTTAGTAGTGACTCGCGTTAGTACGTGAAGATTCCATTTTTCCTGTGCCTTGTTCGTCACTCCCTTTATGTTGTTGTGATTTTTCTTGACCAAGGTCGCTTCCATCGTGATCGCCTCCATTGTGATTGTCTTGGCGCTTTACAGCCAACATTGTGTTTGGGTCACTTCAAATGCCTACTCATCGCCCAGCATTGTTATGGCAGCTCAACGTCCGGATGGCCTACAAGTCCTTTTTGACGACTATCGCGAAGCTTACTACTGGCTGCGGCAAAACACACCCCCTGTAAGGGCTTTTCTACTTAAGTAGATTCAAACGAAATGCTTGGTAGTTTTCGTTTTATAGAAGTGCACGATTCTATTCTTCGATGAGACGACTGTAAAGGCATCTTACTCTACATACTTTGACACCATCTTCGGCTTTTAGGTGCTGTGTTTTTTCACCAAGTGTTGAAAAGCCGTGTGCACATTAGGTCCACATCTTTCGTGTCTCTAATACGTGAACACGGTTGGCTGTTTTCACTGATTATTCAGCCCGTTGAAAAAACCCCACACTAATCCCCGGTTCTGAAACAAAGCAACTAATGAATACACTTGGTTCCCCGAGTATCACTTGTGCTTTCAATAATCATTTAAAGGTAATCATTAACTGATATTTATGGTCATACGACAGTCAACATATCATTTTGCCTTCCTGAAGTATTATTTGCTGTTGATAGGATGCCAAAGTAATGTCCTGGTGGGATTACGGCTATCAAATAACAGCTATCGCCAACCGTACAGTTCTCGTTGACAACAATACGTGGAACAACACGCACATAGGTCGCGTTGGTCAAGCCATGGCTTCGCGTGAAGAGGATGCTTATCAGATTCTTCGTGAACTCGATGTGGACTACGTCTTGGTCATCTTTGGTGGGGTTTCATCGTACTCTTCTGATGGTAGGCAAGCAGTATTTTTAGCTCTCAGTTTTTCCTACGACAGTTAATGTGGCCGCGATGTATATGTAACAGTTTTACCTGATAATAGTCATATGTCGTGCGTTTTGCGATGCTTAGTGTAATTTTAAATACGTGAGTTTCTGGGCCTAAAAATTAGAATCAACTGGCTATTTGGGCAAGATTCTGTGACAACGTCGACTGGTTTGGCAAGTTATAATTTGCATGACTCCTGGATTGCAGGTCATAACTAGGTTGTGAAGTTGCAAATCCTGCTAAACGGACACATATGGTCCATCTTGAAATCTTCAACACCATTTCACATCAGCGAAGCCCTTTTAGCATCGACAAATTTTCGTTAAAATTCGAAATTTAGCTAAAAAATAATCCTATGTTGATCGTTATGTCACGAAACCACTCCATAAATAACCTAGGTGCTGAACTTAATCCCAAAGGTAGACCCTTCGTCTCGACCATCTCATTTTAACGATGGAGCTTTAGTCACATGGAGTCATTTCTACTAATATTTATATAACGAAGATATGTTAATATGCAAGCTCATGCATCTTTTAAACTCCCCACCATTGCTTACTTTCTACTGTAATTTTTCCTGCTACCTGTGACCGATTCGGCCCTCTAAAATCAACGCACCAATTTTTCATAAGTTACCCTAAGCCGTAACGGGTCGATTTTACACTTTAGCTAAGATCTAGCCTTGGATGCCACCCGAGTTTGTGGCTATAACAACACCGTAATTTAGATACGCGGCTAGCGTGCTTTTGTTTGGCTTAAACACAGACTAGAACGCATATTTCTCAATTGAGATTTGAATAAGTTCCTGTGGATGGTCCGCATCGCCGGCAGTACTGAGAGAGGCCGGCACGTGAAAGAAGTCGACTACTTTAGCAAAGCTGGTGAGTATCGCGTCGACAAAGAAGGTTCGCCCACCTTTCTCAACTGCCTACTCTACAAAATGTCGTACTACAGATTCTGGGAAAAGTATACTTCGTCGAGTATGTTTTTGTTGTATACTTAACAAAACATTATTTTTCAATCCACATGCCTCTAAGTCGAAACTTTCGTAAAGCCATCATTTATATCACTATATCTATTTCCATAATATTGGTAGTTCGTCTCAACAAATCGGTCATTTTTGGTGTAAATTTTTTCGCGTTTAACTTGTCCAGGTTCTTAAGTGACGTAGGGCAGGTTGAGGCGAAGTATGCCGAGCTGATTTCTTTCTTCACCAACTCCAAACAACTATTCAAGTTTATAAAAGTTGCGTCAAGTAAAGCGGAGGATTAGACTTACCAACTTGAACCCTCATCGGCTCTGTTAATGTCGTGTTGGTGAGGCACTCCGCGTGAGCACCTCTACAAGGTGAACATTTTCAGCACAATGGGTGTTACACAGAATGGTCAAGGTGAAACCAAATCCCAATTATTATTACAAGTTATAAACAAATCGGAATAAATTCTACTGCAAAATCACACAACAAATCTTCAAAACAATTATTTTCGAAATGCATACATATTCGTTTGTATGTTAGGGCGCCATTGAAATACCAAACAGTGATATTTAAATTGGCGGACGAACAACGGCCTGGAAGCCACCGAAAGCGAGTAATGTCCGTTTTAGACATTGGCACCTTAAATTCGGAGATGGTTTAAATCTGAGGTGCTTTCTTTCTGGCAGTACAAGGCTTCCACACACGGGATGTGGTTATGTGACTAAAGCCACTGCACACCGGTAATGAATTGGCTAAGGGCGTTGTTTTGCGACTCTACCTCATGTACCAGGTCCTCTTCACTGACATTTGTTCCGTGACCGTCATACGTACGTTATCTTAACACAACAAAATCCCTTCAAAGCCATACCACACATCTCAGTGCAGTGAATGAGTCGACGATTGTATGCCTTTTGATTCCCTGAGCTGTCTCGTACTTGAGCAAGGAAAATAAAATTTTAAAGCAAACATATGCGGAAGTTGAGGCACCATTGAAATATGAAGCAGAGATATTTAAGTAAGTGGAAATTATGACGTACGATGCCGCGCCGTTTTCAAGCACTTTCCATTCCGGTGTGCCGTTATACCGTAATACGTACTCACAGGATGCGGACTTTGATGAAGCTTTCTAGTCAAAAGCAGCAAACTCTACTGATGATGTTAGTGCTGTGTCTTTCTGGAATCATTGGTATTGCAAATAAGAGGCTCTAAATGTCCACGTATTAGCCTTTCTGACTAGACTCTTCTCAGTTTTGCGATTCGAATCGATGATTCACGAATTCGATCCGTACTTCAACTACCGAACAACGAAATATATGACCGAACAAGGGTTTTATAAGTTTCACAACTGGTTCGATGATATGGCCTGGTACCCCCTTGGTCGGATAATTGGTGGCACTATTTATCCGGGCTTAATGTTAACCGCTACAATATTTTACCGCATATTACACTTTATTAATTTCACTATTCACATACGCGATGTATGTGTCTTCTTAGCACCTGCGTTCTCCTGGTAAAGTTGGTTTTGCAGGAAGTCATTTTCTTAGTTTCACTGTTTTTGTCACCTTCCTCCTCACAAAAGAGGCAGTTGATATGCCTTCAGCTCTCGTGGCTGCTGCGATGATATCGATTGTTCCTGGTTACACCAGTCGATCTGTGGCTGGGTCTTATGACAATGAGATTAGTTATATTCCAATCGACTAAATTAAAGACAACCAAGTCGGATTTGGAATCCAGGAAAATACACTGAAGTTTAGTAGCAAATACCTTCAAAGCACCGGAACTTTTTTGCGCTTTAGTGGGTTCTGTGTTTACTTATCAAACTGCAAAGCTGCAAAAAATTCGTGCTTGAGTAGCAAACAACTCAATTTATGTAAGGTGTTAATCTGCCATTTTTTACAGATCATCCTCCGGGCTACGATCGCGTGCGGAATGCGATAATCGGAAACAAGGACTTCGAACTCACTACTTTAGAAGAAGCCTTTACCACAGAAAACTGGATTGTTCGTATTTACCGTGTAAAGAAACTCTTGAATCGTGGTCACACTTGATTCTGTTCAGTTGGTTAAGACCTGTGGATTGAAAGCAACCGCCAGCGGCCAATATCTATGCGTCTTTTGTCAATTTGTGTATCATGAACGTTAAATCTTAATATAATTTTTGTAGGAATCTGGCTTTGGCTAGGCTGGATCATGCTAATGGCATACTTTCGAAAATGAACATGAGGAGTCGTTGACTGAAGTGAAAATTTTCGTATTTACTTACGTGCATCCCAAATCGACCTTCGAAGGAAATAGGATGCTTACTCATAAGGAAGGTATTTATTTGCAGGAGCAGGCCAGGTATGCGCAACTAGTTGCAGTTCGAGATGGGAACTATTAGTAGTTGTAGTAGTCCAGGGATGACAATTTAAACAGATAACGCCTAACTACCCGTACAATATTAAACACCACGCTGATGTTCGTTATATTCCCCAGATCACCCACCTGAATTAGTGTCCAAGATTGCTGCCATTGATTAATTGCTCTTAGCAGGTCCACCAGCTATTACCTCTGTTAGAATTTTATAAGCTGGTGGCTGAAGCCCAGAGCCTCAGTTGCTAAATAAGGTGACTTCATCGATCGGGCAGATCGACGAGTAAACACTTGTGGATCTTTTCAATGTGGAGAGCGTGACCGAAATAGGTACACCCTAATATTTCGACTTTAAAATGTTCCGTTAAACATCAACAGACCAAACAATGCAGCATGCATGACAAATTAACTCCGAACTCAAATAGCTCCAAAGCTTAATTGATCTACCAGTTTCAAGTTAAGAGGGAGAAGATTATATTCACAATTTAACAAGTCTGTCATAAGTAAAAATGGGACCACGCAAGTCTCGGTGGAGAATAAAGAATGTGAATGTAATTAAAGAAACAACTAAAGGGCATGAAATCTTAGCAAAAAGTTTGTTTGGTTAAGAAGTGGAGATGAAGTGGGTTCGAGCATATACACTGGTGAGTCCGATCCGCAAGGTAAGTTGGAAGCGAATCAGACAGATCATGAATGATAGTGCATGCCCATGAAGGGACAGTGCGTAAATTCGAATGTCACACGTAGGAAACATGCGGGGAGCCGACTTTTCCACATTAAGGTGACTCGGTAGGCAGGATTAGGAACTGATGCGGTTATGTTTCCTGTGCTTAACATTACTGTTACTGTGATTTGGCGACTCTTTGACATCCTCCTGTTTAACTGAGAATAGGTGATATATGAGGTTAGTTAGTACACAAGATATGAGGAGTATTAAAAATGATTGATTACCTTTCTTTTGGTGTTTTTCTTTACGCTTTTGCAGGTCACTATTTGTGAGGTACGCGTTGTTGACATGCTGCTGAGCCTTCCTTTCGCGGATTTTGGTGAAGTGGTAATTGCTAAACGTCCATACCATGTGAACTTGAGTGAGGAGGACAAACATCATGCAATTTAGTCTAAAAAATAAATGAAATTAATGCGCAGCCATGAACGATAAGTTAAAATGTACATAATAAGAACCAGGCGCCTGAAAACATCTTTGCTTCAAATTTAAACTGGTAGAACAAATGCAATCTTGGCCGTAAACCGGTTGAAAAGCGTGGTAAGGCAAAAAAGTTAAAATGAATGAAAATTGCAAACAAGGAGTTGAAAGTGACAACATCCGTCTAAGTTGTTTGCAACAAATGCAACCACCAAAGCTTACCTGACAAGCCAAGTGTTGAAATTTCCATCAGTAATGTTCACTGTTTGGATACTGAGTTGAGGTAAACCGTAACTAAGTCCATTAAATCGTTAAAAAAACTTACTAAAAAGTAAGAAAAGCTAGTACCGAACAAAGAATGCGACACAGAATGTACAACCCATTGTAGACAGCAAACCTGAATGGTAAAAAAAGTTATAAAACCCTACCCTAATTTAACCGCGGTTGTGAAGGCATAGAATTTCATCAGTCTTGCGAAGTGGAAGAAAGAGTCATTCACATAATGGAAAATAAGGATAATTATCGTAAGTTTGGAAAAACTATAAAGCTAGGATAAATTTCCACAAGTTACTTCATAAAGTATCCAGCAGCGACTCCGATTAGGAATAAAGTGGAGTAGAAAATGCGATTTGGAATTTCGCTTTTCTTTATTTTTTGAAAGTAAAGTTCAGGAAAATTATGTAACCAATAGCTTATCTAAAGGAATTGCTATAAGCTAAAGGGTGGAACGAACCTGAACAATGAAAAACACTTTAATCCAAAACGGCATGACGGTGTGAGGATAAGCCGTCCAAAGTCCATCTAGACTCGTTAGGAATCGTTCATTAATAAGGGCATAGATAGCCCAATAGGAAGACACGACGTAAAAAAATAGAAGTTGACCGGACTCGTTAAATTTTGACTGGTTAAATCGGGGAAGATGAAGCCTCTTTGACATTTTCTAAGAACTGTTAGAAAAACTCAAATTTACATCCAGGATATATTCTTGGATAACCGCATGAATGATAATGCAAACCAACGTGTAGAAGAAAACAGCTAGAATATCGTATCGCCCATTCGTGTATACTATGTCGGAAATGCTGTCTGCCTCTCCTAATAAACGTGGTAATTAATCAATGTCTGCTGAAATACTTTCATTGCTTGCGTTGTGCTGCATGGTAACAAATAATGCGGCCGCTCTGGAGGAACCCTTTAATGGGAAAGAACCGTGTTTAGTAACATTTAGGTGTAAAGATCATTACAATCTGCCAATAAACTCACCGGAAAGAGCATACCACCAACAAAAACCATCGCAATAACACTAACGATATCTCCATGATTTGCTATAATGAAATCATGAGATAAATACGAAGAGCTCTTCCCCCTCTTTTTAGTCGACGGCATACCCACTTACGAAGGCAGTTGCCCGAGTGGCAATGCGTGTACAGTGATTCCCAAAATTGATGCATATAAACAATTGCCAACTCAACGGCAGAAGACCAGGGTAAATATTTATTGCACTAAACATATTTGCTTAATTTTTAATTAAAAAAAACAAACATGTATATTTTAACTCCAAATAGTGGTAAATAGTTGACAAATGTTTTCTGTCAAAAAAAAAATTTATTAAAATTATATGTTCTAAAGGCTGTATTGATTCATTGAACATATTCCAAGTCACACCACCTTAATCATGAACTAAATGTCTAAAATTGTATGCTCGTTTGCGTGCATTATTCTTGGATGCTTCTTAATAGTTGAAAATATAAATTGACCTAGATCAATTAGTAACTGCTGTGTTAGCGAAGTATTCAGGTAAAAGAGGATACAGGTAATTTAAACCCAAACTAGGTGTACAAGTAACTGGTTGGTAATAAAGAAAACTCTGTTTAACGTAAGATTGGTTGCTCCAAACTATGGTAAATATATCTTCGACACAGATTGCTAAAGTTTGCATAAATTGCGGAGGATATCTGCATTGGAGATTTTCCCATAACGCCAATTTTTGTTAGGGGGCTGCTGTAATGAGTAACAGGCACAGACATAGGTTTGTTGTAGAAACCTTAACTTCATTACACAAATATGAATGAACATTTCTGAATAAACAATGGCTTAACCGAGAGTTCATACACAGAGGCACAGATTAAATTGGCGTTGGTTAACAGGTCCCTAGCAAACCCATAAAACCCGCCTTACAACTACTAATTTGAGCTTTTCTGAGTCCAATATATAAAAACCCTTTGTCTTTATCTGTCGTAACCCACGACGTCAACCCTATCAACGCAGCTCCTATGGCTTCATACTATTGCATAGAAGTGACCAGAAATGTCCAATATCACATTGTTTGTAACCGGTGTCAAAACACAAATAAGTTAACCAAAATCAATCGCATGTGCTCTGCTGCTCAAAATTAACTGATTTTCGCATTTATTGCGGAATCATAGTGAATTCGCGAACTACTGAAATCCATGATTATGCGAATGCGAGAAACCGCCCATTTAATTTTAATGAGAAAATCTTCAACACCACAATTCAATAAATACAAATTATCTGACATTGAAGGGAGGGTGTTTGTAAAAAAAAATATGCAGTTTGCAAAAAATTCGACCGCTAAAACCATAAAGTTTTTTCTAAAAATGTTTTATTGTGTGCACCAAATAATGGAGTTAATATTACTAGCGTATAACCTAATATGAATGGGCATCGCACATAATACGAATCACCCGAAAAATGATGCAATTAAAACTATTCCTTTGTGAAATATTGCTCATTGGTAATAAATAGGACGGAAATTTGCAGCTGTTGATCACTGCCATAAGCAAAACATTATTGCGGATGAGGAAGTTTAAACAAAGCTAGTATTTTATGGATTTTGAGGAAATTGTGTGTTCCAATTGTGGCTGTCAACCTGGCTTCAAGTACTTCAAAGCAAGTTATTAGAGCTGAGTAGTCTTTCGGAAGGATGAATTGTGGTGAGGCAGTCGCTTCATTTGAAATAAAATCACCAGCGAACCATGAATCCCAGATACCCTTAATGTGGCAGCAACAGAGGATAGGGACAGACAAAGAGGCTAGTAAAGCTGGAACAGAGATATCGCAAAATTTTTTTAAACTGATCGACTTCTTGTTAGCAGCTTTTTTCCACACTGGAACATCTTCGTGTGCTAGCTACAAAAATAAAAAAACCAATTCGTCAATTAGTTAGGGCAAAACTGGGTTTTCTGAAGTGAGCAAAAAAAGTAGAAGCCCAGATAAAAACCCGTAATTGTTAGACTGTATTACATTATAATATTTTTGAAAGAAATTCAACACCACAGCTGGTTTAATTCACATATATAGAAACTAGTCAAGTGTCGATAAAAATCCAGTTTCGTCTTCATGCTTTTTTAACAAGACATTCAAGATAATTTGCTGAAGGTTCGAGACGTGCTGTCGATACAACATAAGTAGCACATTATTTGCATCATAATCAATGATGAGGAAGGCTAAAAAATTATGATCTCAGCATGAATGAATCCAGTTGAAATAAACCGGAAAAGCAATGTCACGATATCAACGCTAGATTGATCGGTTCGCGATACGAATGTTTAGTAGTTAACTATTGTGGCGACTTCTAAGGGCGCAGACATAATGAACCACCCTGGCCTCAGTCAATTTCTCTGAGTTCGAATGGCATGCGAGGAAGATGGCCAGCCAACCACAAACACCAATAGAGAGCAGTATATAATGAGCAGCGTGGTGGACTCGGATGGAAGGCGCCTGACGTGTGGTTCTGGCTCGTGATTGGTCAATAAAGCCTTGTCTGTTGAATCGGTCTTCTTCCTATTAGGGCTCGGGTATTCTTCATTGGTGGCAGCGGTGGGTATTCTACACTAGTAAGATGATTGTTTTTGTAAACGAAATTTAGCGTCCAAATAGTCATGTCCTACGCGAGCAACACATGGTGTGCCGATTTCTCATTATATTAAAACAACCATTGCATTGAATCGATTAAAGAAATATTACAGAGATATTGCGCATTACAGCTCGGACAAGCCGCTTTTACTAAAGCGCTTGACTAATCAAATCAAGGTTGAAATCCAGAGATTAGCTAAGGACCTGACCGAATCCTCAAAAACACTTTTTCCTAACATGTGAGAATAAATCAGCACATCAAATTTTGCTTTCTGGCAAGGAGCAGATAAATCATCTTCCAGGACGGTGACTTCTAGTGGATGTTCAAATATTGAATTTCAATGGCATAACAGTACCGCAATACCTATTACTAAGAAAGTAGATAATAAACTGATGGCAGGAGCATGTCGCAAATGTTCGGTGTGCAGTAATTAGTAATCGTCGAGATATCACGGATTTCATTTTTTAAGATTTTAACCCACAGAACCTGGAATTTTCTTCGATCTAGAAGGAAAAATAGACCCAAACGTTCACATGAATTTTTTCAAGACACAACAAGAATGCCGGTTAATTTTAGTAGAAGGCAGCGACTAACGAATTAGTAGACTGTAATAGAGTTTGCGTGACGAAACATTAAACGCGCTTTTAGTGTCAATGCTGATTGCAGCGAAAGACGACTATCTCGATTTAGAGATGATATTTAGAGGTGTTTTAGCACTTACGAGAGACTCATTGTCAAATGAGAGAAAAGACATGCATCAAAGATACCAAAGAAAACAATTTAGAGTGGAGATTTGTTCTCAAATTTCAAGGGAACCTGGGAATTCAGAAGATCGGGTATGGCCATGAGAGTATTGCTAGAGGGCGACATCTATTCGATCACACACAAACGTTTTAATAAAAGGTACATTCGGCGCTATAAAGTAGATCATTTCAGCAATAGTTCCAAATAATATTGACACATGTTTGTAAAATGGTGAGACACCACAACGCAAGATACTATTCTAAACAAACTTACGGGTACGTAAGTGGAATAGGACTGACAAACAACTCTAACGTAGGCATCGAAACGCCGCATTAATGCAGCAAGGCGCAGAGCAACCTTGAAAAGGTTATTCCGTTTCTCACACTGGTAGGACGAGAGTCTCTGACCTTCCGAAGAGCCAGCAAGCAAATCCATGTAATGAACTTTCCATAGCCATAGTCGCGAAATATTCACCGACGGCAAAAACTTACTCTTTAGAAAAATTCAAAAAGATAGATTGCTACTTAAAATATGATTTGAAATGCATTCAAACTGATAAAATACAAACGAAAGAGATACGTTGGGAAAAATAAAATACATAACAAAATTCCGATGAGGCTCAGTCTTCTCGAAAAGAGTAAACAACCTTCCAACACTGACGTGCACTCGGCAACGACTTGGTTTTGCGGCAACTGTGGCACTCAGACTGGCTGTCTCCCGTGACATGATGTGCTTGGCATCCTCCCGAGGCAAAACCGTGATTCAACAGGGTTGCGAACAGTACCGGGTGCAATGGAACACACAACATGGTGAGTACATGGACGGTGCAATTACTGTGGGGTGAGTTCGGAAGTGCGATTCATTATACACACCACAAACCAGGCTAACCGAAGGAACATAGGTGCCAGCTATGATACTGGAGAACAAACCTAACGAGGTGAAGAAACAACAAATCTAGCAACCCAACAAAAGTCCGTTTTGCGATCCATGTTCGCAGCTAAGTGTGCTATGAAAACCCTCCGCCAGTCACGTAATCAAACTAACGCCAGCATGAACGGTAACAATAGCTCAACAGTGAAACGACAACGCAAAACATCGCCTGAAGTCAACTCAAAATGACTTCGGAAATGGCCTAGTAAATTACTTCTGTGAGGCTTCTATAAACGCCAACGCACTAAATCACACACCAGCTTTAAAAACAAAAACATAGTGCACTTAACGTTAAAAGGAAATAGAAGATACGGTTTTGGAAACTGGACTTTATGAAGACAAATTGCTCAGTCTGATTAGGGAACCACGTATACTGCATCAAATCGAAATCGAAGAAGGATTTCACGCATGGAAATGTGGGAATTCAATGCATAACACAACACCAAATCTTAAAAATGTAAGACTTTGCAAAATGCTATTTTGTTTTTAAGATGACAAATAGCATTTCTACTGAAAGTACAGCAATCAAAAACAAAACTTGCACAACATCGTGGCGGATATTTCCAAATGCCGTGTTTGTCTAAGTTGTTCCTTACTTGGCTAAACCAACCCACGGCATGAAGGAACTAAGGAAGTACTTAAAATATGCGCCAATACTGCGATATAAACCGACTTAAAGTTGAAATAACTATCAGTCAAAGAAAGCTCTTGGCAAAGGACAGCAGCCAATAGCTAACCTCTCACACAAAATCCCCAAAACGTTCCAACACCGAACTCAACTGGTAGGACACAATAGTATAATATAGCCAATGACTAGTGACTGTAAATATACAAA